CCCCCCCACCCCATTTCAAAATAAAAGCCCCAGAGAGTGAACTCTAACTGGAATGCTTTTGATGAAGACTGTCATTTAATAACCTCTGTTTCATACATTCTGATTCTGTCTCCTCTCCTTTCTCCCCCACCCAGCCCCACTCTTTCAAAATAAAAGCCTCATGGATTAACTGTATTTAAACGTTAATCTCAAAATTAGGGTTTTTTGTTGAAAAACTTAATGCTCTGACTAATACTGCGACAACTACTACTGCTGCTGCTAATATACTATTACTACTACTACTACTGCTACTGCTATTACTGCTACCATCAATATTATTCCTACCACCACTGCTATTACTACCACTACTACTATTACTTATACTACAACTGCTACTACTACTACTGCTATTCATGCTACTACAAGTAGTATTACTACTACGGCTATTAGTACAACTGCTACTAGTACTACTACTACTGCTACTTCTTCTACTGCCATTACTACTACTACTGTTATATTAAATACTACGACCAATACTACAGCTATTACTATGACTACTGATACTACTACTTCTACTACTTCTAATTACTAATACTTCTACTACTACTAATACTTCTACTACAACTACAACTTCCACTACGACAAATATCACTGCAGAACTTTTCCCTTTCAAAATGTTCAGCTCTTTCAGGAGAGGGGTGCTTTGACTTTTCATATTTGTAATCTTTTAACTTTTTGAAATATTAAGCTATTTGCAATTTTTTTTAATGGGATCTCTATGGAGAATATCTTCAAATCCTGTTAAACTTCTTCAACTTTCAAAGCCTTCTTCTTCTCATACTTTCAGCTACAGACACCATAGTTAGACATTTCAACTAGAAGGGTTTTCAGCAGTGCAGTTTAAATGCTTTCGAGCTTCAACATTTTTCAGACAGGTAGTCTCCCATTTCTTAATTTTCAGCAATTATTTTACAATTAATTTCAGCTTTCAGCATTCCAAAGCATTTTCAGCAGGAAATGCATTTTCTAGTTCCTTTTTATATTTCTTCTGTACCTTTCATTGAAACTCTTCTGCTCCTTCATATTTTAAGCTACAGAAACCGTTCAACTATCAAAATGTTCAGCTCTTTCAGCTCATGTCTGCTATATCTTTTCATATTTCTAATCTTTAAACTTTTTGAATTATTAAGCTTTTTGCACCTTTTTTTTTTGAATGGGATGTCTATGGAGAACATTTTCAAATCCTCTCAAACTTTTTCAACTTTCAAATCCTTCTACTTCCTCATACTTTCAGCTACAGACACCATTTCAAGTTTCAAATGTTGAGAAAACCCTGAGCTATTGCAGAATGATTCAGCTTTGTGATATCTTTTAAACTTTTTGAACTGCAGCAATTTAACTTTTATGATTTTTCAGCCCTTTTCTGACTTTATAATGGGTGTGTATTGCGCAGCTTAGAGTGCGTGATGTCACCGCTAGAGTGAAGAGCAGCTTGAGATTCTTGTGAAAAAAACATTTGTCTTTTGCCACTGTGTCCACAATCTTCACTCTTCATGCATCATTTTTGATGGAGAAGTAGCTAATATTGTCCTTGTCGTAGACAAATGACTGTGGAATCCCACAGACTTACACATTTGGCTCAAGGAGCCGCAGAGCGACATGAACTCCAACAAACTGCTCCATTAGACTCCATGTTAAATCTGACCACTCATTTCTCAAAGAAAGCAGATGGTACCAGTTTTGTATATTGCTCTGGAGCTCACATTTTTAACACCATAAACATAAAAAACACATTACCGCGTTCGGCAGAGTCTTATCTTTCTCACAGTATCCATATTTTGGCACTCAGACTCCTGCTTTTTGTTAAAAGGGGCTTTGTTCAAAATCACTGTTTACTGTAATGTTTCTTAATCAGTCTGCCTCTAACACCAGGTGTGTCGTCACCATGGCAACCAGTTACACACACGCACACAGGCTCTCTCTCTCTCTCTTTCTCTCTCTCATACAGTCATTCAGGTCTTAGAGATTTTAAGAGGACTTTCCACCCCCCCACCCCATTTCAAAATAAAAGCCCCAGAGAGTGAACTCCACCTGAAATGCTTGTTATGAAGCCTGTCATTTAATAACCTCTGTTTATGTGTGTCAAACATTATGATTGTCTCTTCTCCCCCACCCAGTCCCACCCTTTCAAAATAAAAGCCCCACAGAGTGAAATCTAACTGGAATGCTTTTGATGAAGACTGTCATTTAATAACCTCTGTGTTTCATACATTCTGATTCTGTCTCCTCTGCTTTCTCCCCCACCCAGCCCCACTCTTTCAAAATAAAAGCCTCATGGATTAACTGTATTTAAACGTTAAGCTCAAAATTAGGCTTTTTTGTTGAAAAACTTAATGCTCTAACTAATACTGCGACTACTACTGCTGCTGCTAATATAATGTATTACTACTACTACTACTACTACTGCTATTACTGCTACCATCAATATTATTCCTACCACCACTGCTATTACTACCACTACTACTATTACTTATACTACAACTGCTACTACTACTACTACTGCTATTCATGCTACTACAAGTAGTATTACTACTACGGCTATTAGTACAACTGCTACTAGTACTACTACTACTGCTACTTCTTCTACTGCCACTACTATTACTAATATAACTACTTCTACTACTACTACTGTTATATTAAATACTACGACCAATACTACAGCTATTACTACGACTACTGATACTACTACTTCTACTACTTCTTCTAATTACTAATACTTCTACTAATACTTCTACTACAACTACAACTTCCACTACGACAAATATCACTACAGGACTTTTCCCTTTCAAAATGTTCAGCTCTTTCAGGAGAGGGGTGCTTTGACTTTTCATATTTGTAATCTTTTAACTTTTTGAAATATTAAGCTATTTGCAATTTTTTTAATGGGATCTCTATGGAGAACATCTTCAAATCCTGTTAAACTTCTTCAACTTTCAAAGCCTTCTTCTTCTCATACTTTCAGCTACAGACACCATAGTTAGACATTTCAACAAGAAGGGTTTTCAGCAGTGCAGTTTAAATGCTTTCAAGCTTCAACATTTTTCAGACAGGTAGTCTCCCATTTCTTAATTTTCAGCAATTATTTTACAATTAATTTCAGCTTTCAGCATTCCAACGCATTTTCAGCAGGAAATGCATTTTCTAGTTTAATATTAATTCCTCCACAAATACTATTTTACTTTCCATGAAAACTGAGCAAGTTCCTTCCGCTAATGAAGGCCATGAGATGTGGCTGAAAGCTCTGCCAGAAACATAGTATGTGGAGCTGTATTTAAAACGTCTTGATTTGTACACCTACTATATGAACAGTCGGTGGATGTTTTAACACACATAGAAAAGATGTGTTCACGTGTGTTTGTTCATACTTCATTAAATACAATCGCAGATGTATTGTACTGAGTTGTCAATCATTCATTATCTATTTACACATCAGTTATGGGTGCGTCATTGGTGAGAGGTTGTAATTGTTCACAAATACATCAAACACTGAAAATGTCATTTTCTACATTGTAGTGTGTTACAAACCGTGGAAGTATAATGTACTACATCCAAATGCATATTACGGGGGTTAAAATTAAGTTATATCAGTTAAACGGTTAATTGAAACAAACCATAATGAAAACAAACATTAGTTTGTCGCCCTATTATTCACGCAGAGGAGGATATATCAGGAAATATCAGTGATAAAAACTATTTTTTAGTCAAATTACATGAGATAAGACAAACGGATACATAAATATACATATGATAAATTAGATGAAGGAAGGACGATAAGGATTTTTACCTGCAGCAGGTCGGCCACAGCCAGGTTCATCATGAACACCACGGCCTTCTTGGTTTCTCTGACGTAAACCTTGAACACCCAGAGAGCCAGCACATTACCCAGCAGGCCCGGCGCTAAGATCACACTATACACCACTGCGTACACATGGTGCTGGTACGACCGGAGGTCTTCATTGCTTTCACAGCTGTGGTTGGCAAAGTTCATCTTAAGCCGAGGGCTGTTTTGCCCGTTAGCTGGACAGGCAAGCCGCCTTGTGAACCACCGGGATGCTTGAATCAGCGAAGCTGCTTGTAGTCTGGCGATGGGTGCGTTTGAGCGGCCGTGCTGTCCATCATGGCGAGGAGGAGCTCAGTGAGTGAAGCTGAAGTTTGTGTCCGGCGGGGACAAACTGTCGACGTTTCAGACCGCGTTCAATCCGAGGAACATGGTATCCTGGTTGAGGAGAAACGAGAGAGTCAACAGGATGGTATTGGTGTGACTATAAATCAATTTCTGGTGGCAGCATGTTGCACAGATAACTGTCAGGTTTCACTGTACAGTCCCACACACACGTACACACACGTACCAACACACACACACACACACACACATGCAAACACGCTCACGCCTACAGCTCACACCTACAGAACACGGCTTCAGCCATGTGTTTAGTTGCTTTTGCATTTACGATTATGCAAACCCACAGAGAAGTTGATGCTGCAGTCTCCCACGTAGTGTTCACTGTTTAGCTTCTCCACCTTCATGGCAGCCAACAATAAACCAGTGTGAACCGCCTCGGAGCGAGGCATCAGTTATACTGGCGTGGTTAGCAAGTCATACCAGGCTCGGGGGGGGGGGGGTTACCAGGTCAGACCAGGACAAACGTGCATGCACATTAAGAACAACACTTTTTCTTTCAAAATAAATGACACCTAAATTATGCTTTTTAACATTTCCAACAGCACAACATAAAAGTGATTTATGAAGATTAAGATTAAGATTGGTAGCCTTTAACCCTGATGAACTTCAGATATTGATTTGAACTTGAAATGGAAACACAGTAATGTCTGGAACTGAGCCTCCAGCTTGTAGGTGTCATCCACCCACTGCTGAAAACATAACACCATGGGCTTCCTTACTTTTTGCTTTAACCCATATATACTGTTAAAGAATATACATGTGGGCTGTGACGATTCGTCCTTGTTTGTACAGTTTTGTCTCTTTTCATTATCTGATTTGGCTCGGACTAAACTGATCCTATAGCTAATTATTTAAAAAGGGAAATTGTGTTCTTAACATAGTCAGTAAAGTAAGTTACTGTTTTTAGCATTGCAAGTGGAAGGACACTGATTTTGCTATGTTTACACTGAGCGTCCACACTACGCCGGGGTTTTTCGAGCACCAAAAACGGGGGAGTTCGAAAACGCTCCTGAGGACGAATAAGTTTGAAAACTCCGGGGTTGCGGACTAGTATGGACAGTCGGAAACGCATTAGTTTAGAAACGATGACGCCCACACCCGCGTTCGCTACTTGATTGGTTCTTAGCAGTCACGACGTGTCCGTCCCTGATTCGTCAAGCTCCTATCACGTGACCTTCCCCGGAAAATCCCAAACAACAACATTGATTGTCAATCAACTACCAGGTTAATTTAACATGGACAACTGATTAAAGGTGTTGCTGACCTTGTTGTCTTTACTAGCAGCTGTTGTCCAGTTAAAGTCTGCATCTTCGCGGAGGAAGCAGCTGTTATTGGAGTGGTTAGTGAGCGGCGTGTCCAGCGGCGTTATCAGACCTACGAAGCAGACGTCTGAAGTCACGGTAAACGGCTTTGAGGAGGACGGATACAAAACAGAGGACTTTCCTCTTCTTATCAATGCTTATTTTGTTCTGCACAACTAATGTGGAGTCCACACAGAAACTATAAAGGAACAAAACATTGATTGCTCTCCAGTAGGACAGATAGGTAAGCCACCAGCAGAGCTAAGAGTGAGAACAAACGAAATGGAGGAAACGAGTGAGAGATGTGTGTTGACCACATTTATGAACCCATAATCTAGTAAACCAGTACATGTAAGTGTTAATTTTACAGTAAATATGAGGTGAGAGAGAGCGAGAGAGAGAGAGAGAGAGAGAGAGAGAGAGAGAGAGAGAGAGAGAG